AAAAAAAAAAAAAAAGAAAGAACACCTCTCATAATCTGTTATTTAATAAAATAAAAGCAGGTTACAAAACAATTAGCATAGTACAATTCCAGTTGAATTTCTTTAAATGCATACACCACATGAAAAACATCTGAAATTATAATACCAATATGAACACAGCAATTATCTCTGGCTTAAGGGATTTAAACAATTTTTAATTTATTCGTTTAACTTCTTTTTATGGTCCTGTCCCCTTCTGCTACCTTTTCTTGTTATGGTCTCCTTTTTCCCCACGGTACAACTACCATGTTTTACCTATTTAATAAGAAGAAAAAGTTGTGCCAGTTATTATTTCTAAAGATAAAGTCTCAACTTTGCAGGGAGAACTTTATAGTGATTAGGTTAGGCCTTCTTAGAGGAAAAACTGTGTGTTTATTTATAGAAGAAACAGTAAGTAGAAGAAAAATTTCACCTTTTACAAATACTAAAAAAATGCTGTGAAAAATAATGAAAGAAAGTCCTAGAACATGCCCAGAAGATGGCAGCCTGTGCATGTTTCTGGGGTTGCCCTCCCATTGAGATAGTCATGACCAGCTGCTAAGGCTTGTAAAAAGCCTGGATATATTTAAGCCTCATGTTCTCTAAAAGAAAGCATGGATGTAAAGAGGTAGAGGTAATAGATTATTAATTTTTAAATAATTTCTTGAATTGTTTTAGATATCTATCCTTTTTTATTAAAAATAATATATATTGTGAAATTCCAAGTTGTTGGTGCTATAAAATAGTTCAGACTTGTAACAGGATTATATGTAGTGAATCATAAGTGTGTTTATGCCTTGTGGCTAGTAATCTACTACTATAATTCAATGTTAATTATTTAAAATGAATGTATATGTACAAAGACATAAACAATTACCACATTAACATAACCACAAAGTAAAACAATCTAAATTCTGAAGAGTCAAAAATCAATAAATATTTATGCTATCAAGAAAATGGACTATTATGTGACCACTGAAATAAATGTGAAAACTCTCTAGATGCATAAGAAGTGAAGAATTAGTGTTAAAAAATTTTAATGACAGATTTACACTGTGCTGAAACTTTGGTTTCTATATTAATGTCATACAAACAGAATATTAGATAGTTGCGGTAGTACATTTAAGAGGTTGTGCGGATGGGGGACTGTGCATGCAAGAGTATACATCTGTGTGCATGTGTTTGAGCACGGGTATATCTTGTGGCAAAGTTGTCAAAATAAGTAAAATTACTTTTGAAAAACTATAGGAGGTTAATTGCCCCAACAAAAGTTACAACTCCCTTTATAACATAATCCCGACAAAGATAGGAGGTTAAAAGACCGTAGAAGAGCTACTTGTAGGTTGCAGTGAGCTGAGATTGTGCCACTGCACCCATGCCTGGGTGACAGAGTGAGACCCTGTCTCAAAAAAAATTAAAATAAAATAAAAATATATAAAAATATGAACTGTTGAAATCCCACAAAAACTAAATACTCTAATTTACATAAGATCAATTACATAAATCATGCCTCCTTTGGAAGCAAAAGTTTCAACTTTTACAAAATGTGGATTTTTATCTGTGTTCTATCACAAAATTTCCTTGGTTTGAGTCCAAGCACTCTCAACCTGCATATAAAAAAGCAAACAATAGCAGAGGACTGACTAAATGTGATCCATCTGGATAATGCAGGCCCTAAGTCAAATCATTTCAAAAAAAATAATTTGTTATGCCATATTGATTCACAAATATTTAACTGATAAGTCTACCATGTGCACATACCCTTTCATGGTGCACTTGAGAATTTCCTCCTACTTTGTCCATAGAAAATCCTCTCACCTTCATTCAGCTGCTGGCTCCTAATATAAATTGAGATTATCCAATATATTCCTGTTATCTGTTCCCATATCTGTAATCTGTGGCCTGAAATTGTCTTCCAGCTATGCAAAATAACTTTCTTCGCATACTGAATTCCTTAGCTCATTGGTGCTAAGAAATTCTTGTTGGTTGAATCAGTAGACAAGAGACCATTCAATTCACCTGCCTGATTTAAATAGGATTATATTGATTCTGATACAGAATCAGATGGCCAGAATGATTATTAAAGGGTTATTATGTTTTACATAAAGTACTTGCCATAAGATGAATTTCTATATTAATGTAACATTGCTATACAACTCTTATTAATAACCTGTTCTAGGGTCATTCTGTGCTCAATGGAATTCAAGAAATTACATATTATATGCTATAAAAATTCTAATGACATTTTTACAGAAATAGAAAAAACACATGAAACTACAAAAGACCCTTGAACAAAGAATAAACCTGAATCATCATACTAGTTGACTTCAAAATATACTATAAAGCTACAGTAATCAAAACAGCATGGTACTGCCATAAAACCAGGCACATAGATCAACAGAACAGAATAGAGAGCCCCAGAATAAGTACACACATTATAGTCAATTGAATTTCAACAAAGTTTCCAAGGACATACAATAGAAAATGGACAGTCTTTTCAATAAATGATATTGGGAAAACTGGACATCCACATTTATAAGCATGAAATTAGATCTGTATTTCACTCCATATACAAAAATCAACTGGAATAGATTAAAGACTTGAAAGTAAGATCTGAAACTGTAAACTACCAGAAGAAAACATATGGAAAAAGCCCCCATGACACTGATCTGGACAACAATTTTTTGAGAATATGAACCCAAAAGCACAGGTAACCAAAGCAAAAATAGAAAAATAGGATTACATTAAACTAAAAAGCTTGTGTATAGCCAAAGAAACAATCAACAGAATGAAGATACAACCTAATGGGGGAAAATTTTTGCAAGCCATACATCTGACAAGAGGTTAATATCCAAAATATACAAGAAATTTAAACAACTCAATAGTAAAAAACAAAAACAAAAACAAAAACTGATTTTTAAAAATGGGCAAGGAATCTTAATAGACATTTCTCAAAAGAAGGCATACAAATGACCAACAGGTATAAAAACATGCTCAACATTACTAATCATCAAGAAAATATAAATTAAAAACACAAGGATATATCACCTTGCACTTGTAGAATGGCTGTATCAAAAAGATGAAAGATAATTGTGGAAGAGGATGTGGAGAAAAGGGAACACTTGCACACTATTGGTGGGAATGTAAATTAGTACAGCCATATGGTAAACAGTATGAAGGTGCCTCAAAAAAATTAAAAATAGAACTACCATATGATCTAGCAACCCCACTACTGGGTACATATCCAAAGGAAATGAAATCAGTATGTTGAAGATATATCAGCACTCCCATGTTTATTGCAGCACTATTCACAATAGTCAAGATACAGACTCAACCTAAGTATCCATCAATGAATGAATGTATAAATAAAATGTATACATATATAATAGAATACTATTTAACCTTTAAAAAGAAGGAAATGCTCTTATTTGTGACAACATGAATGAAACTGGAAAACATTTTGTTAAGTGAAACAAGCCAGGAAGAATGACAAACCACAAGTAAGTGTATTTTCACTTATATGTGGAATCTAAAAAAAGTGAGCTCAGAAATAGAGTAGAATGGTAGTTACCAGGGATTGAAGAGTAAAGAAGGGGTGTGGAGGAGGATCTGGGGAGATATGCGTCAAAGGATACAAAACTTCAGTTAGACAGGAGGAGTAAGTTCAAGAGGTCTATTGTATAACATGGTGACTATTCTTAGTAACAACATATTGTTTTCCTGAAAATTGCCAAGAGAATAGATTTTTAGTCTTCTTACACAGAAAACTGATAAGCAAGTGAGGTAATGCATATATTATTTAGTTTGATTTAGCCATTCCACAATGTATACATATTTCAAAACCACATGTTGTACAAGATAAATATATAAAATATTTATTTGTCAAGTAAAAATAAATCAAGATATGTCAACCTGAAAAATATATGTGGGCAAAATGTGTACATTTTTTTTTGTAGAAGGTTGACTAATTTAAAACCAAACCAAAGCTTACCAAAATTTCAACAGGCTTCACCACTCTTCTAGTAATGACACCAGGAGCTTTTAAACGAATGGTTTCCAAAACACACCATTTAATTAGAAGGAGTTTCTCCAGGTCATCTTCAGACACTTTAATCTTATCTTTGCCTGTAGAAAAAAAATTTTAATGAGAAATAAATAGATAGACTATAGAGGCCAGAAAGTGATTTCATGTAAGCTCATCAACAGAGGTTAGATGTTGCCTCTGACAGCACGTAAAGTGTTCCTATTACTATTACCTATTACAAGTTTAGTTAGTTGCCTATTTTTCTTTATCACTTTCCTCTTGACAAGGTAAAATGAATGGCATAAAAAACTAAGCCAATGTTGATTACTGTAATGTGATGGATTAGTATCCAACTTAGGTTCCCACAGTCTTAAAGCTATCAAGTAGCTAAGATAGTCCTTGTCAGAAAGGTTTTACTCATCTTATTCTTGTCTAAATTCTCATTCCACTTATGTAAAAAGCAATAAAAGACTGACATCAAAAGCACAGAAAAAGATACGAGAAGGCACCTGGCCTTTTTCTTCTGCCTTTACCCTTTTGAATTGCTTTTTCTTTTTCTTTTCCTGAATCATTCATTTCAAAAAACAATTGGAAAAGGGGCAATGGGGCACAAGTATCTGAGCTGGAAGAATGAAGACGCCCTCTAAACATAGGTGCATCAAACTTTCCTAATGGGATGTGCATACTTTATTTGATCCTTAGACTGAAAGCACCTGAAAAAGGAGGGGGCGGGGTGGATGAGGGGCATCAACCAGCAAATTTTGTACCATCCAAAGTAATGGCAGAAACTTTCAGTCAAATTAGACAGTTTAGTTAACAATATTTCAAGCAAATGTTTGCATTTTGAAAATTACTTGAAATAACTGAGATTTCCATTTGTTTTTGACAGTATTTACTTAAGAAAAGTCAACCATGTTGTCAGTTTAATTAAGTCAACGCATTTCTCTTTTTCACATTTGCTTTCAGACCATCTTGGGAATGAGTGGGTAAGAGTAGAACTAGGGTCTCCAGCCATGTCTCTCTTTATCTCTGGATGAGGCTTGTTCAAAAGCAAGCCCATTCTGCAGGAAAAGGTTTGTTGGGTGCTGCCTGGGAAATCTTTTCTGTCAGTATAGATGGAATTCCTAAGGAGTCAGAAGCAAACACCTTTGGTTAGTGGAGTCTAGGAACCTAGACTCCACCAGGTTCTACTAATGCCCATATGGGTGTCCATGAACTCCATTCAACCTGACAGATTGTTAAGTACCATGTAGGGACCAGGAGCTGAGACAGGCTGTACCAGTATTACAATTAAGGCACAGCTCTTGCTTGCAATACACTTAGTCTACTAGGAGGTAACAGACAAGCACACAGTTGACTGGAATATCATGCAGGCAAAGAAACTATTCTCTGAGGTGTAAAATATTCTAAGGTAGTTAAAAGCAGATGGGGTTCACATCCAACTACATGAAAAAGAAAATATTTTGTGAATATCTTTCTCTAAAACTACAAATACGATTAGTTCCTTGCATAGAGTAGACCCCAGTAAATATATATTAAATTAGCAAATGGTCCAACTTCAACATAAGGAGATGAATGGGTGAATATTTTCGGCAAAGAGGAAGAACAAAAGTAAGACTGCAGACAGCATGAGTATATTTAGAAAATGTCAAAGGGCCCAGTTTGCCCAGAAGGTGAGACATATGTGATGGAACAGTGAGAGATCCACTAAGGCCATACTATAGATGATCCTAAATGCCATTCTGGAAAATCCAGAGACTAGAGAATTTGGAAACTTCCTGTCTTAGGCTGAGGGAGGGTTAACACCTCAACAGTGAAACAGTGACATACAGCACTATTCTCTATTAAATTAAGACCTTCTGCTTATTTGCTCAGATCTGAGCAATCTAATATTAAAAGGAGATAGGTACCCTTATGGGATTTTTATTGTAATCTTTGCAGGCATTGCATAATAAAACTGTTGCTTTTGCTTTTCCATAACAAAAATTGGAAAATAATAAGTATGCCTTCTGCATCTTCACAACTTAAATGCCACAGTTTTTCCAAATTGTGTTCTATGAAATATTTGCAAGATGTCAAATGTATGAAGGAGGAAAAAGGTTCCATGAGCAACCAAATGTGAAAAATGCTACATGTTATTGGTGACTCGCTGGACACACTAGTATATTACAGGCTTTGAGAAATCCTGTAATAAAACAGTTATTTACACTGATATTCCCAAACTTTTTATAACATGGAATCTGTCTTCTACCAGTATCCATACAAGCAAATCATTAGCTACATAAAAGATAACTAGTTATATAAATTAGGATACAGATTATTTCCAAGGTAATCCTCCAAAAAAGCAAATTCTGTTTTTAATGTGTCTGAGGATTACTAGCACGTGGTATAAACTTTCTTGCATATGGTGTAATCTTTGAGTAGTTATTAAGAACTAAAAACATGATTACCAACTGAAAACTGTCTTGATAGACCATGGAAAGATAGGGGCACCATAAATGTTACTTACTTTACCTTTCTCCCAAACTATCCCAACATTTTCTAAACTAATTCAGAAAAATAATTTAGAAAAGCCATGGTCAGAATTCTTTATTTGAAAAGTGGCTGAGATTTCGCATATGTAACAGATATCATGGCTAAATCAAATAGGCACTTGCTTATTTGGCATTCACTGAAGAATAAAGTGCTAAGGAAATACAAGAAATTTACGTTTTGGAGATCTTTACCATCAAAAAGACTATAAGATGAAAAATTAAAGAAAGAATAAGTGCTTTGTCTAGACAATGTTAAAATGAGAAATTCTGAGGTTCTAATTTTTGAATTAGTTTATGAACGACACACAAACTTAGAGTGGTGCCCAATATGTACTAAGTGTTCAGTACAAGGTGATGTTGATTTACTTGTTATTTATTATTACCATTAGTATTAATGTGAACTTAATAATGACTCTTTAGAAACCACACCTTCCTATCTAGTTTTACTCCATAGCTAATAAAGTTATTCTTTTTCCTGAAATCTTTATTGGGAGAAAATTTAGAGATTGGCGTATGGGGTTGCATATGCAACACGAATTGGGTGCCAGGTCTGAGGAATTCCTTCCATCACTTGTTCAATAGATATCTGCAGAGACTGAGACCCTATAGGTAGTTTGCAAGTGCTGAGTATGAAGATGCAGGCCATGTCTCTGGCTCTGAATAGTCTGATAGAGAAGACAGAGAACTAAAAGTGGTTAATGCGATAAGTGCTATCACATTAAAGTGTGCAACTCGCTATGGGAGCTCAGCGGTGACAGTGACCAGACAGGGGAGGGAGGTGTCAGGGGGCTTTTCAGAAGAAAAAAAATCTGAAGAAAAAAATCAGATACACAAAAATAAAGAGCATGCTCAGATAACAGGAATTCAGTATGAAATAGAATCCGGTGTAGCAAAGGACTAGGTCAATCAACTGTAGATGCAGGTCAGAACAGGCTGTCGCACTGGTTCTTGGTGGGTTGGTAATGGATCCGCCCTCTCTTCCAAGGGTGTTCCACTGAGGTTCCAGTCTGCTCATACCAGATGAATCCAGAGATGACAGGAGGTACCTTTCCCGCTATCCAACTTTTGAATGTGCCCCAAGACTGCCGGGTGTCAGTTCTGGGCCCTCTTCTCTTCTTTACATTATCCTCCTGGGGAACTCAAACAACCCTTTTCAATAAAAAAACCATCAGTGGACTAGTGACACCCACAATAATATTTTTTGCCTTGATCCCTTTTGCGAGCTCCAGATTATTGTTATCCAACTGGCTTCTCATTGGCTTTGTTTACATGTCTAAAAGGCATCTCAAAGCACACACTGGCCTACACAGAACTCTTCACTTGTCCCACTGAAATAAAGCCTTTCCTCCTTTTGTCTTGCCATTGCAGAAAATGGCAACAATGTTTGCTAGCTGCTCAAGTTCAAACCTAGAAATCATCTATGATAATTCTGTTTGATACTGTGAAATAATAAACATATATTTGGTCTGTGGTTCCTAGCACAGAGCTCCTAAAACCTTTGCAATTTCTTGAATGATAGGGGAGAGAGGAGCATCTTTTGGTATTCATACACAGTAAGCCCCCCCCCTTTTTTTTTTGACATGGAGTCTTGCTCTGTTACCCAGGTTGGAGTGCAATGGAGTGATCTTGGCTCACTGCAACCTCTGACTCCCGGGTTCAAGCGATTCAGCCTCCTGAGTAGCTGGGATTACCGACAAGCACCACCACGCCTGGCTAATCTTTTGTATTTTTAGTAGAAATGGGGTGTCGCCATGTTGATCAGGTTGGTCTTGAAATCCTGACCTCAAGTGATCTGCCTGCCTCAGCCTTCAAAAGTGCTGGGATTACAGATGTGAGCCACTCTGCCCAGCCAATAAGCCCCTTCCAATAACACCTGACTATGCTAATGAAGTGACTCTTGGAAGTCAGGGGCTAGTTGTCAAAGGAACCAACCATGAGATGAGAGGGCTGGAACTGTCAGCCCCATCCCCCAGGCTCTGGAAGGGGATATGGGCTGGGGATTGAGCTAGTCACCAATGGAGAATAAATGAATCAATCACACCTTTGTAATGTGGCTTCCATAAAAACCCTAAATAAAGGGGTTCAAAGAGCTTCTGGGTTGGTGAACACATCATATGCCAGAGGGTAACACACCCAACTTCAGAGAAAGAAGCTCCTATGTTTGGGACACTTCCAAACCCTGCCCTATGTGCTTCTTCATCTGGCTATTCATGTGTACACTTTCTAATATCCTTTGCAAGAAACTGGCAATAGGAAGCAAAGTGTTTCCCTGAGTTCTGTGAGCCCTTACAGACAATTATCAAACCCAAAGAGGTGGTTGTGGAAAACCCCCGATTTGTAGACAAGTTGGATAGAAGCGTGGATAACCTGGGACCAGACTAATTTCAATTGGCATCTGAAGTTGGAGAGAGTCTTGTGGGACTGAGCCCCTAACCTATGGGTCTGTGGTAACGTCATGCGGTTAGTGTCAGAATTGAATTAAGTTCTAGGATACCCAGTTGATATCTGAAGAGAACTGGAGAATTGTTTGGTGTGGAAAACCCACACATTTGGTGTCAGAAGTGTTG